TAAAAGATTTAATATTAACTATTTGACACTTACTTTTAAAAGTGGTTGACAATCTGTGATAATCTAGGGATATTTCATAAGAGAAGCAAAAGATTCTTTAATATTTTATGATAAACATAAAAAAAACAATTCTAAAATAAATGCAAAAACTTATATTAAGATTCTTGAGACCAATTTATTACTATTTGTATATACAGTTCATAGGTTAGTAGAATGTTCTATGATTTTTCAATAAGATAATATATCAATTTATATTGCAAAGATTATTTAAGAATAGTCTAAAAAAAATAAAAAATTAATATTTTTAATTGATTAGCAAGTTTACTAAATTTAAATCTGATTGAAAATATTTGAAAACTATTGAAAGATAGTGTTCAAAAATATATAACTTTTCCAAAGAATACAATCAAACTTAAAATTGCTCTTAAGGATGAATGGGAAAAATTTAATATTTCCATTTTATATGAGATTATAGGTTCAATGCCATGAAGGATTGATATGATATTGCAGGCAAATAGTGGGCCTATAAAATACTAACTAAAAAAAAAAAAATTATATAAATAATATAGAAATAAAATAAAAGTGATTTAATATTTTTTTTTCATGATCTGAAAATTGGGTGTTATTTTCTATGGCGACTGTACATATTAAAAATTTTTGAAATACTTTGAAGTTAAAGTTTAACTTTAAATTTATTTTTTTAAAGTTTTTAAGACAACATTGTTTTAATCAAGATATTTTGGCCTCAAAAATTCAAGATGCAATGTTTTTTAATATTTGGCAAATCTATATTAGATCAAATTAATACAAGCATTAGCTTTGCTGATATTATAGTATGAAAAAATCATAAAAAATTGTGAAGTATTATAACGATCTATTTGATAACAATAAAAAATAGTATATTTATGGTACAAATTCTTGAAAAAGTTTGGTTTAAAGAGAAGATTTTTGAAAAGCATATTGTCTTTGCAATATCAATATATAAAATAATTTTTAATCCTAAAAATAATATAATTCAAATTAAAGAAAATTTGTTAAAACCAAAAATATTAAAAAACAAGGTAAATTTGAATTTTAATATAAAATAATTTTAAAATTTAATAGTAAGCCTTTCACTAAAGATTTATCAAATTTTGATATTAAGGCTTTTCTCTTGGATCATCACATTGGTTTTCGAAAGATGAATAAAGTTATCAACCCAAGGCATACTTTTTCAATCAGATGATTATACTGTACTTCGTGAACTTCATCAACTATTAGACCTTGACGAATAAGTTCTCGCAATTCTGTATCCGTTACTGTAACACTTTTGGGCCAAGTCTCATTGGCTGATGCTGAAGTTGCCGATGGTGTGGATTGAATGTCTTTTATTCTTTTTACGAACCATACGCACCGCATCTAGTGATTTTGGACAATTTATATAAAAATCGCATTACTCCGTTGAAAAATAAAAATCATGTGACCGCGTGAAAAAAATTCACGCGACTTTTGCCAAGAAAAAAAATTCGATCCTAGGCTCAAAGACAGAGATACTATATGTTATCCAGCTGAGTGAAATAATATACTTAGATTTGAGATGCTATTTCTTTTTTCCGAACTAATGAGAGGAAAAAAAATTAGTACTCATTGACGTCCGTGCAATAAAGTAAACGTTATCATGTATACAAAACCGGCATTTAACCATTTTTTATTATTCCAATACACATACACACACCCATACATTGGTTAAAAATAATGAACCCGAAATGTGGGCAAACATGGTCATGGTGTAGGAAATTTTAAATGGCATTTTGTTGCAAATTAAGCGATTAGCATACACATTCCTGTCAATCTATCATGTATATTGATTGCCAACAAATATCTAAATTCGAATATTGTTTTCTAACTAAAAAACGACCTTTAATTGGTAACAATCGTTGCTATTCTTCGGCAAGATATTTTCCGATATCGACTACTGCGCATTTCAGGTGATTATCTCACGGGTTCAGAATACCGCAGTCTCTTTACGTCTTATCTCTCTGGAATCTAATATCCTCTATATTCATCCTCGTATGGTGTACTCCAATCATTTATCTCACCCCATTTAGCTGTCTCGTCATAATTATTAGGCATGGTCGGAATACTTTCCTCAAATTTCGGTGGAACATTTATCTTGATTTCTTTTTCACGTGATGAGGACAGGCACTTAATGTTGTAAGAATCATCTACCCTTTTATCGTGCTCTTTTTCACATCCAGGACACATGCCCGAAATTTTAAATTCGTACCTATCCTGAAATCTGCCACTATTATATAAGGATAGGTAGAGATATTCTTTCAAAACTACATTGATATAAGGAGCACGAGCATTATATGGGATGACTGGCGTATTGACCGAACCTGAAGAATTAGAAACGTTTGTTAAAGGAATAGGTGTGGTTGATATGTTTACCTCAGCTGAAACTACCTCCGATGCAATAGTCTGATCATCCGAAATCTCCTCTTCGGAATCTATGATAGAGTCATCCTGATCACCTGGTAATTCAGTGTTGAATCTGGTTAACGGATAATTCTGCAATAGCATTCGCATTATACGTTTTGATATACTTGATTTTATCAATTCCTATTTTTTCGGTAAACTCATAAACCTTCCTGGATCTACTGATGCGTTGATATAAGTTTTTCGTTTGGTGTCAGGATATGTGCAAGAATAAAATCGTAAATCAGTCCTTTGGCCTTTTTCGTGCCCACCTTTTCTTTGATCATAATTTCATCTATACTATTATCTAGTCCTATATTAAAATTTCTCCAGCACAGAATTTCCGCTTGATTAGCCTTTAACCTTTCATTTTCTGCAATACATGCATTTTCAAATAAGCGGTTTATATTTTGCAATACGTCTGAACTTGATAACTCTGCTAGGCCCTCCTGGGACTCTATCTTTTCTTGGTCATTATTTTCCTCACAGCCCGTCAGCGAAATTTCCGTCATGTGCGAAGCGCCTTCCGGCTGTTTTTTCTCGGATCTATCCATGGTAAAATCAAATACATCCTGCACGATATTTCCGCTTCTTTCTTCTTATGTGATCGAGATTCTTTGTCCTGAGTTACAGAAGGGGTTGGGTTCACTTTAGTGAACACATCCCCAGATAAGTCCTTGGTAGATGATTCACGCAATAATTTCTTTTCCCTGTTCCTCTGCCTATTCTCATTAGTAACCTTTTCCTTATGCACTTCATCTAAGAAAGAATCCGGTTTTTTATCTTCCGATAACTTGATGACCGCATTATTATTAGATGCCTCTAATTTCTTTACCTTGGCATCGCGCCTCTCATTATTTTCCTCATTCGCTCTTAGAGCCTCGACATTCCTGCGCTTAAGTTTAGCTATTTCAGCATCAAACACTGAGAGCTTGTTTCTAAGATCGGGGATCTCATCCTAAGCTCTGCATTCTCAACCTCAAGCTTGGCGTTCTTAGCTTCAAGTTCAGTGATACGTTGTTTCAATACTTCAAGCTCGGATGACATGATCTATATGTATAACTAATACACTGTACATAGTATTCAAAATAAAAAAATATCATGTGATTTTCCCTCATGGCCCGTAAGCGAAATTTACCAAGAAAATTTTTTATTATTACTGTACATGCTTAAAATAAATAAAAGATCGGGACTTAGCCCAGGATACATATTATTTTTTCTATGCTAGTGTCCTATACAATTATTTTTTCTTGATTATACTTCTACACGGCGCTTCTTATTTACGGGTTCTTCACTAGCTGATACCCTATCTTTTAACAAACCCACTATAACTTCCAAAACCCTCTTCACATTCTTGCGTAA